CCACAGAGCACAAAGTTTCCTCTCTGACCCTGTTACAGAAGCAATTTTCATAAAAACCTTTCAAAGAGGTATTTTCCCACCTTAAGCACAAACTGTTCAACACTTTTTTTGCAAGACATGTCAAAAAAGAGAAACCTCTACCAGGAGCTCACGTAGCTCACACACTCAGGAGTTAAATGGACTGTTCATGGAAGGAATTATCCTCCCTGGACAGCCCGGTGCAGGCTTTGAAGTTGGGAAAGCAACTCATTTCTTAACACCAGCTGGACTTTTTTTAGCCAGCAAATTTGCTGCTAATTCAGTAGTTCAAGACACCAGCAAGAGTTTCCCATGTCTTGCTTTCCCTCTGGTACATCACAATTTTTCCCCCCTTTCGTGCTAAAGGTCTGCAGTTCATTATTGAGCCCGCCTGGGCAGGTGGTGAGGCTTACTAGGCAAGAGCCAGAGGTTCTGTGGAGCCTTCTGGACTGGTTTAAAGGGATCAAAAGGACTCCTTTAATCCCAGATTTTTACATACATTTTATCCTTGCCATCTCTATCTCTGCACACCCCTAATTTTCCAGCAGGACGAAGAATAGATGCATTACTCAGTTGGGAGTGACTATTAAATCTCTGCAGCTTCTGCTGTTGCAGCTTTATTCTCCCACCTTGATCAACTGAGTCTTATTTCCTCAAAACTGCTTAGGGCAATATCTGATTCCCCAGAATCCTAAATTATTGCTCAGAAATGAGTGCAGATTATTTGGCCTGTCTGCTTACCTGCTCTGAAATGCTAAACAAAGATTTGTGGTACTCAACACCTTAATGTTGCCTCTTACCCAAGATTGTAATTTCAAATGTCTGATTATATTCCTCCCCTGATGAGTTCAAAGGAAACAAAGGCAGCAACTGAGATGCAGGGTTTAATTGCAGGAGGAAAAAAGGCTCTGCAGAAGTTTCATGTGACAAAAATCAGCAACAAGTGCCATTTGTTATTAAATAAGTTGTCACATCATAGAGTGTGTGCAAATGAGAATACCTTCCACAACAAGAGGGATCTAGAACTTCTTGTAACACACACACACACACACAAATAGCAACTGGGTGTTCAGGGAAGAGCAAATAGTTAAAGGGGATAGGAAACATCTGTTTAAAAAAAGGTGAAAGACTGAAGCTGTTTGGGTCCAAATCACTGGGCAAAAACACTGAGCTTGGATGTTGCTAAAGCCTGCTTTAGAACTCCAATTTCACTTCAAAATGCACATTTGGTTCCATATTGATATTTAGCATTAGGTTTAATTTTACCAGGACTACTGTTACTATGGAAGATTGATCTAGTTAGGGGAAACAATGTTTAAATAATAGCCCTTGTTTACTTTAATCTTGATAGCAAAGATATTTCAGTTATTGAATCAAAAGAGGGTGGTGGATGCTACTGGAGACACTTAAGAAAGATACTCTGGATCAAGAGAGATGCAGCCTGACTGGGGAGAGCAACAGGAGTGTAATGAGATGGGAGATCTGCAGTGACAAGAAGAAAGTTTAAAAGCATTAAAACATTATGGATTGTGTACCCTAAAGAGCACACAACCCACGGGGGGACCTCAAAGCCTTCATATGCATAGAGTAGAATATAATCTTTTTTCCATACCTGGAACAAATAAGACAAGTCACTCAGTTTTCTTGCCCAATTACAAGAAGAAAATGTTCAGGGTAAATGTCAAGAAAACCTTTCTAAGGGCAGGGATGAGGAGAGAGAATAGATTAGCAGAGCATCTCTCTACCATTGGAGATCTTTCAGAACACATTGAATAAATATCTGTCAGGATTAATATATAGTTGATCCTGCCTTGGGGCTGATGGATGAGTTACATGACCTCTCTAACATCCTCCCAGATTATTTTATTCTGATTCTGTTACAAAGTTGCTCACAAAATCAGGAGCTGGATTTGATAACTGAAAACACTGTTTCCCAGATTCCTCAGGAACACATGAGTAGTATAAGATAAATCTCATTTTCAGGGACCACAGAGCTATTTGTTTCCCTGCTGTTGCAATCACCATCTTTAGGCAGCTGGAAACAGACACAGAAGTTGGGGTAATTTCCATTATCCAGTTTGGAAGTCAGGTCCAAAGGGTGGTAGATTACCTGCACTGCAATTGTGCTAAGGAGCATTTCAGCAAAGATACATCTGTTAAAAGCACCCTTGAAAGGCAGAGACCTTTAAATCTTTAAAGCTGTCCCTTTGAAAGACTTAATTTTTGCAGAAGTGATAAAGGTTTAACTAACATAGCTTGATATCCAACCTGGGAGATATCAGGGAAACAAATAAAGAGTTTAAACACCATTTTTGAGAATTAAAATGCAAGATCTCCTCCAAGACATTCACTGGCAAGGGTCCCAAATCATTCTTGCTTCATATAGAATATCTCAAGTTGGAAGGGATCAATTAACTTTCTAGCTAAGTAAGTTAATTCTCACCTTTAATGCAGCCAGATGGTTCCCAGGAACCAGATCACCGAAAAAATGGAATCGTTTGCCTTTCTGAGATCAATTTCATAGCTATAAGACAATATAATATCTTTTAAATAAAGACTATCTCTGCTTGTAGGAGTCAAGAAAAATGTTTTTAAAAACACTGGCAATGACTTTAAAGAATCTATTCTCCTAATGATTCCTGTCCAGTGTACAACTGACCACCTGAGCTCCTGCACATCTCCAACCTGAACTCTCTTAATAAATCTTTCAGACACTGGGAAGAAACGGGAGTTTAAGTTTCCTTAATGGCCTTTGTGACTCTTAATATATTCCATTTTGGACATTCTGAAGATGAATGAGTTTTGTTTGTTAATTGGGGCTAAAAATGACTTACAGTGAGATAGCCCAGAGGAAGCAGTGCTCCTGCTCCAGAGGTGCAGACAGCACGACATGAGGTTTCTGTATCTCACGAGCCATGCAGTTACCACTGCACTACCTCTGCCCTCCAGCAAAATATAACAGATCTGAGCTGTCTACAGGCTTTCAAAGCTCATGATTGACGAGCAGGAGATGAAAAAGCTGCATCATGCCCTGCACTCTCCTGCTTAAGGTCAGGATGAGGTCCTGTCTCTCAGCCCACGGCTGAGCTCCTGTCACTTGGCATCGCTCTGTTACTCCCTGAACCTATTTACAACACCATCCATTTTGATCACACAGGCCATCCATCTAGATCCCATGCAAATTAAATTAAAGCCTCAGCTTTCATCAAAGCAATCCTCATTTGTGTTGCAAGATGTATAGTTTGATCTCATTGCAGCTCCAGCCTCGAATCCCAAATGCCACGAGCGGTACCTGGTGTTGCTCACCCGGTTACAGCCAAGCCTGGAGGTACTGCTGAGCATCACCTGAAGAAAAGTGACTTTTTTTATCTTGGCTGCTACTCCTTGAACCATGTGAAAGGCAGAGACAGTGGGAAATCCCCTGTGACCTGGGAGTTTTGGGGCATAGCTCTGGAAAAGGAGGTTGGGAGATGCACCCAGAGTGCCAGGTCAGGCAGTCAGGGAGCAAGAGCAGCAGAAAGAGAAAGGTTCTGCTTGTTTGCCTATCATCTCTGCAAAACAGTGTTCTAGAAACCAAAGAAGCTTCTTTATTTGAAAGCACATCTCCACAGGAAAATAAACCTAAAGATTTTTACACACACAAAAACAAGGGAAAACTTTGTCTGTTGGGGATGTTCCCATTAGGTCTCCACACCCTCCTCATTTACTCTCCCCATGTCAACAGTCTGTGCTGGGGAGGAATAACTGCCATGAAAGAATCAAAACCAACCTGGTTTACACAATTATTTGGTCTTTGCAATAACGAGGTAAAGGTATTACAAAACCAGGCACCAGCAGCTTTCACAAGATTCAGCAGCAGTGAGAGCGGCAAAAGTTCATACCAAAATCTCTGTTCTTACCTCATTATGAGAAAGTGCACAATGAGAAGCTTTGGCCACTGTTGGACAGTGACAGTAGTAGGTAAAAATCCTCTCTCAAATCCTAGTTTTACACAATATTTTACCCTTCATTCCCTAACAGAAGGGAACAGCCACATAAGCTGCTTTCCAGAGCAGTTTGTTGACTAACAGCTGCTTGAGGATGAGGTGATGCTGGGCACTGGCTTTATGACTTCACCTTGCTGCTGCAGGTTTCATCTTAGTCACAAATCTCTTTCAGAAAGGCAACAACAGAGGCTTTTACTTCCGCTACTTCACTTAGCTCACTAAATTGTACTTTTCATCCTTTCTCTCCAAGAGAGGAAAGAAACAAAAGTCATGAAAGTTGACACATTAAACCATCCAACAACTTTAGACACGATGCAAACTCACACTTCCAAAGTTTTGTTCTAGTCAGGGTTTTCAGAGTAGCACAGCACTCAGGATTATGCAGCTCATGGACCAAAACAGTGCTTTTGAAGCTACTCTAGCTTATCAGTTAAATATGCATTGATTTTTTTTTTTATTTATTCTTTAAAGAGATGTATTATTAATTAGGTAACAGAACAGCTTCCTTGGAATCATTCCAGTCTGTGACTGAAAAACATATGCAGGATGCCATCCAGAATAAAACCCCTTAGTAACTCAAGAGGAGATTTCACACAGCAACAGCCAGCCTTTCAAAAATAGTGTGTTAGGACTCAATCTCTTCTCTTTCCAGGGTATGCTGGGCACAGTAGAGTAATCAAGGGAAAGACCAGGGATAGGTGACTGTCTACTTAGTCCCTACAGGTTAAAAGCAGCACAAGGACTGTTTGTAGGATCACCCAGGTAACCTCAATCCCTGTCTTCTCACATGCAAAACAGATTTTCCTTGACAGACTCAGAGCCCACAAAGATGCCAAAAGAACCAGTAAGTCCCACCTGCCATCACCATGCTGGTTCAGCAGCAGAGTAATGACAGCATTGGAAATATCAAGTCCATTGTCCAATTTGAGATGTTGGACAGGTAAGCCACAACTTACATTAATTTAATGACTTCGTTATAAGTTTGTTCACACTTACCTTGTAGGCCCAGCTCTGATCCTGCTGGCCAAGTGCACACAGGAGCTGGAAACCAGGAACATGCAGCTCAGTAGAGGTGGGGAGTGTTTAAAGGTGCTTTCTTATTCATGGAGTCAAAGGCAGTCCCCAGTGCAAATTAAATAGTCTGCACTCCTGTGCCTGCAGACAGTGCAGCAGAGACAGATGCAGAGCTAAACCAGCCCAGACCTGTAAATGAGTGACAGGGAGGACAATTAGCACAGCAGTACTTCACCCTTCTTCAGGGTGTTATATTACATTGATGTTTATATTTAAACACAGGTAGAATTGAATATTCCCTTTTTGCACAAGCATAAATGATAATGCAAGTTTCAGATAATGAAGCACGAGCCATAGATTGCTTGATAGAGCACAAAGTAGAAGCCTGTGAGAAAAATTGCCTCCTGCCTGTTTGCAGGAGCCAGCTGGGAGGTGGACTCAGCTCAGAAGTTGTGACAGTGCAACCCGAACACAAACCTACAACCCACCCCGGGTACCTCTGCACAGCTGTTGCTCAGGATGCTGTAACAACTGGTTATTAACATTCACTTTGAAGGGTGCCCTCTGCACATTCTCTACACTCACACACAAATCAAGCAAGTACAGTTCAGGCAGTTGCTGCCCACGTGCAAGATCTGAGACACTGCAAGTGCAAGGAAACACAGCTCAGCCTCAACGGAAGAGCATCAGCTCACACAGGGGACAGACACTGCCAGAGATCACAGCCCACTGCAGGTAAGATGGGCTGCATGGAGGATCAAATACTCCTACTGACAATCTGGTTTACTTCCTGCCATTCCCAGAAATAAGAACCAAAAAATCCCCCGAAACCTCTCACGTTCTGCAAAGGCTGTTGCCAGCTGAACCATCACAGGGACGTGCTTCCCTGCAGGAAAAACAGGGTGCCCACCTATACACCACACCTCCAAGCACCACACCAGCAACCAGGAAGGTTCTCAGCATCAGGAAACCCAGTCCCATGTAAGGTGCTGGGAGAACAGCCACAGGAACACAGACGTGTTCAGCACTTCCCTGCAGAAAGGCAGCGTGGCAGAACTGTCTGCCCTCAAACCTGTCTGCTCTGACCTTGTGCAACAGCCTCTTCTTTATTAATGCATGAAAAAATCAACCCATATTCTTCATATTGACCTCTTGTATGTCACAGGGCAGATTGGACTTCTCAGAATTAATCTTGAGTTAGAGCTGAGCTTTCAGAAAGGTAACTGGTCTCCGTTTGGACACTGCAAGTCACGCAGGATCCACCAAAGCCTGTGACCAGCTGCTCCCTTGTTTTGTTCTCTGCAGATCTGACTTTTTTTGATATTCAGCCTCTGGGCCTTGTACCACTAAGACTAAAAAGCCTTCTTTTGCCAAAGTTTGGTTATTTTTGTGGTTCAGTTTAATTCTCCTGAAGTTCAGGAGCTCTGCCTCCTTATACAACCTAAGAAAAAGTCAGTTCAAGCCACTCCAAATACCAAGTAAATCCACAACGTCTCAGGTGTCCAAATTTAGGATGATACTGGTAAAATTATCCCTTTGGCTTCTCTTTGTAGAGTTGAGCTCCTAAAACCTACTCATTGTTATTTCAGAGAATTGGGGATTTTTACCACCCAATTTACCCACCACACCAGACACTTGAGATGCAGAGCAGAGAGTGCTCCAGATAAAGGTTTCCACACACAAACCTCAAACTTGTGTTTCCAGCTGACCAACCCACAGAACATCCAGATGCACAGATGTGCTCCAAAATCACTCTCAGATGTCACATCTCTTTTTGACAGGTGTTGGAGGTAACTCAGTAAAGTTGCATTAACACAGCTTTAAAGCAAGAGGACTCCAGGCTAAATTTTAAAAAAAAAATAATCCCAGGGGGAACATACAGAAGCTGACACAGCTCTTATGTTGGGCTGGTCATTTCACCTTCCTTCCTTTTTATTTTTCTCTTCCAGAGGGACTGGGGCATTGGGCTGAGTGTTGAACTGTCAGTTCAGATTTTCAGCCCTAAGAGATGAATTTCCCTCCTGACTCGAGTCATGCCCACACTAACTCTCTGCAGTCTTGGCTGTGTAGTTAATCATATGCAGCTACACTGAACCTGATTGTTAAAAGGCTGAGTAAATATAACTACACCCTCGTTATCTTGTTTAAAGGTAGAAAGATTAATTTGAATTCTAACTGGAAATACTGATTCGATGAATAAGCCTGAAATGTAGCGGTTTTCAATTACGCTAAGAAATTGGTCTTTTGAATTTTCAAATTATGCAAGGCAAAGCAAGTTCACTTTAATCTATACGTGGGGATATATTTGCCATTCTCACAGTGCTGTGTGTCAGCGGGTAATAGCTAAAAGGAGAGTGAAAAATCCGTAATGTTGGCCGTTGGTGCCCTCCAGGGGCCTGGCCGGGTATAAATTTCAGCCAAAACATAATTTTTGAGCATTCAGGTAAATACAGTAAATATTGTATATTATTACCCTGTTTTAAAAGGGAGTGAGGGCCATTATTCATGCAACCCTCAGTGGACAGTTCCTCTCCACAGTCCCACAGACACTGGGATGCTCAATCAAACAAGGCAAGGGAGGTATGTATTTATATTTGACTACTTTCACTTTTCCTGCCTGGATTCCTAAGAAAACAAGGTTTATATCTGATCACATAAACCTGAAGGACAAGTAGAGCTGGGGAACACACAACATGCTGACAGCATTTGTAAAAATAGGCATCAAGAAATGAAAGCAAGCAAATTTGACACCCCATGTGCTGGGAAGCTGAGACACCAACTCAGTCATTACATCTGCTATAGGTGGAACCACAGGGTTGCAAATCCAACAAAACTCAATCTTGTAACCTCCACCCACGGTTTGTAACTTCCACTCATGATTTGAGTTCTGTTTAAGTCCATTTTTGGTTGCAGGCTTACTCCAGCTTTACATCAAATGACTGATATCCTCCAGTAGGCTTTACACCCTCTGGAACAAGACAGGAAGCCTCCCCCTGTCCTCACAAATTGCAGGTTAGTTCCTTATGGCAGGGATTATTAATTGTCATTTTCCCTTGCCATCCCATAATACAGCTGCCACAAGACTAAACACCAGAGAGGAAAAGGAAAAAAAAACCAAAACCAACCGATGACAACAACAAAAAAACCCCACACAAAATAAACAAAACTCCAACTAAAACAAAACCAACCAAAACCCAAACAAAACCCCAAAACCAAAAACAAAAATGCAAACAAAAAAACCACTGAAATCGGGCCTGTCAGAGCACAGGACCAGTCCACACAAGCTCAGAAGATAACCTGTGTATAACAGACCTCCAGCAGAGAGCTATCTGATCCAGGATTTTTCTGGAATTAATGGAACTCTTCTCTGCCTTCAGTGCACAGAACTCAGTAACTGCAGAGAGTGTGGCTGAGAGCAGGTGTATTATCAGGGCACAGCTACGTTAAGAGTCTCTCCTCCTTAACATTCCCACCTTACAGAAGCACTCTTCCACAAATAAGTCTGGAATTATTGTCCAGTCTCACCTACAAGAGTAGCTACAACTTTATAGATGCTTTTTCTGCAAAATTAAAACTCAGTTTTTGGTTTTTTTACAGGTGTCCACTAAAGCCACATCTCCCTTCTTCCCCTCACAGGATAAAATATCCAATAAATAGTAGAAAGCTCCTCTTCCATTGAAATAGGTTTGACACAACTACCTTGTTTCAGGGGCTGAATTTTCAGTCCCTGCTCACAGTTTTCAGCCCACTCTGCATAAATACTGAAATGAATATTTGAATTTTCTGTGAGGCACGGGTAGGCAGGACTACACTGGGTGCTGTGAACACCCAGCAGGGCACGACATGCCCAGCTCTGAGCCCTGCCCTTTCTCCTCCACAAAGCCCAGCATCGAGTTCCAGGCTGAGGTGTTGTTGACATTTTACATCAATGTGATAATTGGAGATCATGAGACTTCGAGAGCTGAAGCTGCTGAAGATCTACCATGAAGGGGCACAAGTCAGCTTTGGATAGAACTGCTGAAAGAGTTACAGACTCCCTCCCCCTTTCCCTGCACAAACCTCCCTGGTCATGTCAATAAAGGAGACTTTAAAGACGAGGAAAATCCAAAAAGTCTTTGACGTAATTAATATCAGATAATTGTTCTGAGCCTTCTTTCATCTGCCAATTACAAGTGGAAATTGAGTCTGGGGAGCTCCTGCAGATCATCTTTATGCAATTATGACTTATGATGAACTACCCAGCTCCAGCAGCACTCCCCAAGCTACAGCACGAGCCTAAATGGAAGACCTGGAGCAGGAATGACACAATGTCAATCCCAGTGTTTAACATGCCCACAAGCCAGAACGTACTCCTGGTTTGCTGCTGAATTCGACCACACAGCTCATGGATGAAAAATCACTCCAGAAATCAGAATGGCAGGTAATTAGCAGCACATGCTGTCTTCCATTACTTTGTTTTGTTCTCCTTAAATCATTCCCCATCCGTGCTCTCCCTTGCTGCTTGAGAGGGTCATTTGTAGGCAGCTTCAAACCTGCACAGCAGCTTGGCTTCCAGCAATGCCACTGTGGTGGCATCTGAGCACACCTGGGGTTCAGGCTGAACATAGTCCCAATGAGCAGCCAGAAACCTGACTTCGTACCAGTTCACCCTTAGAAGAAACACAGCTCCATCTTTTTACCTCCCAGACAGACATTAGGCTCTCATAAAGAGAGGAATATCAATTAATACAGAAGCCAATACACCAAAGCATGAGAGTTCTGGCCCGTGGGGTCCTCAGACCTAGAGCTGCACCAGCTGCTTTCTGTGAAGGCAACAGAAAGAAAACAACTCCCCACTGATCCTGCCTCATCCGAGCCCTTTCCACTTATATTTAGTCAGGACTGATTAACATGGGAATTCTGGAAGAACACTCCCTGTTATATTCCATGTTTTCCGCTTGCTGAAGGAGGAAAGAAAGCTGAGCAGGTTTATTCTGATCACCTGCAGGCCCTGCAAGAGGCAGCTCAGCAGGTTGGACAGCACTGGACACTGCTGAGAAATGCAGCCTCTCCCCAGCACCTGCAGGTGGCACGGGCTTCCTGCACATTTCTAATCCAGGCTCCATAATCACATTCCAAGAGGGGGAGGGAAAAAAAAAAAAGAAAAAAAAAAAGAAAACACTTTCCAGATAAAGAGAGGTTTCAAAGAT